TTCTACAGTTGATTTAGAAAAAGGGTCTCTGAAATTACATTCATATATATATACTTTCACTGGAGTAAGCCATATAGTAGATCTTCATTCTCAGCAATCACAATGTACTCCAAGTGACTTATTTATATGTGAGTTTTGACTCTACCTGCCTTTGTCAATTATTTGGTAAGCTAATATTAATAAGGTATTCATAGCTCATTTGCTAACTCTTCCAGGGAACCAACGTCTCACTCGGGCCTCTGATATTGTAACTGTGGGCCTTTAAGAAACAACAGAAAAACCCAGCTGAATAAAAACTGCCCTCCTCTGCGGCTGCCCTGATGGAACGGGCTCAGGAGCAACAGCCTTCGTGGTGCCCACCCTCTGGGCCAGAACAACAGATGCCCCACATCTGAGTCTAGTGCCTCCAAGAACCACAGGTGAGGATTCTGGGGGTAGGGAGAGTGGGAGAAATTTCACCATGCCACAGATGAATGAACGCTGGTCTAGTGTGTTCAGGGCAGTATACCTTGACCCAAAGGGATTGCATGGAATACACTTTATGTTTAACCTCCTAACACCTTTCTTCTAATGCAATTATTTGAAATATAACTCAATAGAAAGACACTACCCTCCTGGAAGTGTCTTGAAATGCTTATTGCACAGTAAGGTTTCTGCTTATTTGCTTAATTTTTAAGGATTTGTAGCTTGATTTTTCCCCCCAGAATGGATGAAAAGATGAGCAGTGTCCAATTTTGAACATCTTAAGAAGTCGTGGCCCTTGTTAAATTTTGTTTGAGAGAATTCATAGAAAGTTACTGTGAAACAACCATATTCTTAGAAAGCTTCTCATTTAAGACTCAATTGGGTCAGAGCTTAGGTTATTCTGAGAGCTGAATACATTTGTTCTCTCCCTGAATCACAGATTCTGACATGTTATTTTAGAAGTTCTTGGTCTTTTTCTAAAAATTGACAGACATATGGAAAAGTTAATAATTCAGTGAGTAAAATATGCTTATATCTGCAAACAACAGCGATAAAAAAGATGCCCTATTTTTACTGTTAATCTTTCTCAGAGTTTTGAAAATGCAAACCCAAACTTGACATAGAAAAGGTACAAAAGATCTTGGCCCTTAAATTTTCTCTGCTGTTTTTCATTGTCATGCAATGTTTTAATTTTCCTTGAGATGAAACCACTTAGATCCCAACTTTAGATCACTATGTCCTATGCTATGGGATCTATGGAATTTTAAAAGGTAAGAATGTTCTTGGGAAAATGTGGCTTCTATGAAATATAATCACAAACATAAATAATGGCTATTTCTACATTACTTATGTTAATTTTTTATTCTTATTACATTAATGATATTCTTATAATTATTTATGTATTCCCTTTTTGTTTGTTTGTTTTTGAGATGTAGTCTCAATCTGTCACCCAGGCTGGAGTGCAGTGGCACAATCTCTGCTCACTGCAACCTCCATCTCCCGGGTTCAAGCAATTCTCCTGCCTCAGTCTCCTGAGTTGCTGAGATTACAGGTGCCTGCCACCACACCCGGCTAATTTTTGTATTTTTAGTAGAGGTGGGGTTTTACTATGTTGGCCAGGGTGGTCTCAAACTCCTAACCTCAGGTCATCCGCCCACCTCAGCCTCCCAAAGTGTTGGGATTACAGGTATGAGCCACCACACCTGACCCCATTTATTTCTTTAAATTTATCTGATTAAAGACAAATTTAGGGATGATTTTCTTGTAAATGAAACTAATGTCTTTCATGAATGAGTAGTTGCAAACCAGATCTGATATTGTTTAAGGAGATATGAGAAGGACTTAGCTAGTCAGTAATAGTTTCTCCATTTATTTTCCACAATTCCTTACAATGTTATTTCAGTTTATATTTGGAAAATAGCTGCCAAACTATAAAAATTGCCTCACAGTCCATAAAACAATGTGCCACCTTCAAGCTAAAGATGAACACTTTTTTTTTAGAGCATGAAAAGTTCTATGCCTTGGGTTGCTGTTCCATCTGTCCATAACTTTACAGAAAATTACCTACCAGGAGCTCAAACTTAAGCAGATCATATGTGAGGTTATACATAAATTCATGGAAAAAAGGAAGCCCTTCTTGCTGACAGATTTGGCTGTGAGCAATGGGATGGGGCAATTCTTTTCCTCCTGGGGCCTTCGTTTCTTTAGCCTTGAATCTTCTTTTTCCTATTTCTGCATGACTGCCTTCATCTTTCCTTGGGATCTCAGCTTAAAGGTCACCCTAGAGTGATTTTTTTCAGAGTAGGTGCCCTATTATGTAATTGTCTCTGTAGTACCCGATGTAAGTTTAAGGTGCCCTGTAATCGTCTACATAGCATTTATCATGAACTGATACTCTTGGTTTTTGTTTGTTTCATGTCAACCTCCTTGTAGTTGCAGAGCATGGACTCTGTCTTATTTGTTCTGTAATCTGGCACCTAGAGTGGTGCTTGGCAGGTCTTACGAGTTGAATTGTGCCTCCCAAAAAGATATGCTGATGTTCTGATCCACAATACCTCAGCATGTGACATTATTTGGAATAGGGTTGTTGCAAATTAATTGTTGGGATCGCAAGGAATAAGGTGCATCCTTAATCCCAAAAGACAGCTGCCCTTAGAAGAGAAAATAAACACAGAGAGGACACCGTCCGAAGACACAGACACACAGAGAAGATGGCCATGTAACCAAGAGTCAGAGACTGAAGTTTTGTACTGGAAATCAAGGAATGCCTGGGGCTCCTAGAGGTGGACCAGACAAGCAAGGCTCCTCTCCCACAGGCTTGGGAGGCAGCATGGCCCTGCCAACATGCAATTCCCTTTTCAAATGCTGAGGGTTGACACTCTACTCCCTCAACCAGGGGCCAAATATTTGCCTTAAAAATGAAACTAAAGGAAAAACAAGATTTTTGTAATAAAAACCAGCTGTATAGCAAATGGGATGAAATGTATCATTCTATTGCAGTTCTCTAGTTGGACTTATGTAATATTGTAATAAAGTCATCAAAAGTACTTGTAGGAGGAAAATTTTTTACCATGATGTTGTGCTCCTGGCCACTGTAAATTTGCAAGTTTAAGCAAGCATCATTCAATAATTTTAAAATACTTTCCTCCCCCAGCTTTTTTTTTGCAGCAGTAGGAGCATGCCTCGGAGGCACTGTGAAGAATCTGATAGTTGAACTGAAGCCAATTCCAGTCTTTATGGAAAAATTTACACAACACTTCCAGGTGGGCAGATTCAAAGACAGGATGAATCATGGCCCAGTGCACTGGCTCCTGGCTGTAATCCTAGCACTTTGGGAGGCCGAGGCAGGGGGACTGCTTAAGGCCAGGAATTCAAGACAAATCTGGGCAACATAGTGAGACCCCGTCTCTACAACAAGTTTTTAAGGCCAGGCGCGGTGGCTCAAGCCTGTAATCCCAGCACTTTGGGAGGCCGAGACGGGCGGATCATGAGGTCAGGAGATCGAGACCATCCTGGCGAACACAGTGAAACCCCGTCTCTATTAAAAAAAAAAAATACAAAAAACTAGCCGGGCGAGGTGGCGGGCGCCTGTAGTCCCAGCTACACAGGAGGCTGAGGCAGGAGAATGGCGTAAACCCGGGAGGCGGAGCTTGCAGTGAGCTGAGATCCAGCCACAGCACTCCAGCCTGGGCGACAGAGCCAGACTCCGTCTCAACAAAAAAAAAAAAAAAAAAGTTTTAAAAAAATTAGCCAGGTTTGGTGGTCTGTTCCTGTAGTCCCAGCTACTCAAGAGGCTGAGGTGGGAGGGTCACTTGAGCCCAGGAGTTTGAGGTTACAGCAAGCTATGATCACACATCACTGTACACTAGCCTGGGTGACAGAGCGAGACCCTGTGACCCCCTCCTCCTTGAAAAAAAAATAGGATGAATCAGTGTCAAAATTATGAAGAAAAATATTCTAGGTTCTTAATTCCCAAGGTCTGCGTGTCCAAAATGGTAAGAGCTCAGAGGGTACAAATTCAAAATGTATTAATTGCTAGAATTGATCTTTAGTGGCTGCATTTGAAAAATCTGAAATCACTTGAAAAACAGTTGTATATGTGTATATATGTACGTGCTTGCATATGTGTGTGTGTGTGTGACCTGACAAATTTTATTATGAGGTCCTTTATAAGGCTACTGTAGCAAGTCCTTCAGTTTATACCAAATGTCTCCTCATAAATCAGTAAACCTCTTCATTTGTTCCTTGGTAATGTAAGAGCAATTTCTTTAGAAGTCATATACTGTCCTATAACTGCAGCTTTCTCTTTGTCTCATCTATACACAATACATAGAATTAAGTACAAAGAAGCAAATGGATGTACCAAAAACAAAGAGCAAACTTTGCAGGGAGTTACGTGCAGGGTCTGAGAGCATTTCCTGTCTCATAGATAGGAAGCATTTGCACCACAGCTTGTCATCTGCGCTGTCGGGCCCAGTGTCTCCTAACTTCCTGAAATAAAACCAAACTAAGCAAAACAATAAAAGTGACGATTTCTCTGTGTTTTGGAATTCCAAATTCCTATTACTGGAACATTAAATCTTTCAACCCTACTGGTTAATGTGCCTTTCAAAATTAACGGTGTTTTTGTAATGGTTTGTTTTTAAAATATAATGCTGCAATATACATTCCATATATTATAACAACTTATTATTATTACTATTTTGAGATGGAGTTTCACTCTTGTTGCCCAGGCTGGAGTGCAATGGCGTGATCTCGGCTCACTGCAACCTCTGCCTCCCAGGTTCAAGCAATTC